CCGGATTCCTCCTGCTGTCCGAGACCCAGCCCTGGTCCGACGAATCCGGCAGTTTCCTTCGCCCTTTCCCATCCAATCCAAACAAATTAAACACGAAAAAAAATATGGAATGAGATTATAATCACTCACCTAGAGCCGAAATTGACGCCTTCTCCGGATAGAAACTTAACCTTCCCCTCTGCGGGCGTGGGTTTACTCTTCTCTCTTCTCTCGTCCAAATTGAGGGAGCGACTCCACAATTGCAAGTTGCAACAGGTTTCCCTGTTCTCCTGAAAATATATCCCCTTACCCCAGTGGCCTTATTTGATTTTGATTTGATTATGGACATGTTTGCTTTAGTTTATTTTTTGAAGAATGCTAGGGTACACTGTGTATCCCATTTGTCTCCACCCATTTCTTCATCATACAATTTTTTTTATTTTTATTTGTTTAATTTTTTTTATTTTCTTGTCTTTTTTTGTGTTGATGGAGGGGTGAGGGACAAATGGGGTACACCTTAGTGTACCCCTAGCATTTTTCTTATTTTTTAGTCTCTCTTTTGGAATATTCTTTCTATTTCACTTTTTACAATCTTCTAAATTGCACTTTGATCTATAATATTTATATTTATACATAAATATATTTTATAAAAATTTGATATTTGTAAATTAACATATAAATTTTTTAAACACGATTATTTCCACATAAAAAGTTCTTTTGTTAACTAATCATTTAAATATTAATTGCTGACATGACATGCTGACATGTCAAAAAAAGTTTCCAACAAGCGCATCACATGTCACAATTCTAGAAGCTCAACTCTCAAATTTTATACTCCCTCCGCCCCTATAGATCTTACCATTGATCCTTTTTATTTGTTCAACATAGATATTCTCATTACCTTTTTAAACAATTAAAATATCACAACTATCCTTTCTTACTTTATTTATTTCACCTTTTTTTAACTCTTCTTAAAAACGACAAAAAGTCAAAACGAGAAGATCTTAGGGGGACGGAGGGAGTATATAGCATTATAACTCGTGCGACGCACGAATTAACAAAGATATGGCGTATTGTATCTTACTTGCTTGATATCATGTGATTCTTGTGAATTGTGAATTCATCTATGCGTGTATTTGAAATGTTAGATATTCTAATCTAACATCACCGCTTAGGTAGCATTCCGTTCAACTTATTTTTTCTGTTTATTACTTATTCCTATTATTATTAAAACTATTAATAATAATATTAATATATTATTATTATTATTATTATTACTGATATTATAATTACTATTATTATTGTTGTTATTATTATTGCTATTATTATTACTATTATTATTATTACTACTATTATTATTATCACTATTATTGAAATTATTGTTGTTATTATTACTATTATTATTGTTTTTATTATTACTATTACTATTAATATCATTATTACTATAACTATTATAATTATAATTATTATTATTACTACTACTATTATTATAATTATTATTTCTATTATTGCTACTATTATTATTGCTGTTATTATTATTATTACTATTACTATTATAACTATTACTATTGTTATTACTATTATTATTGTGATTATAAATATTATTACTATTGTTATTATAATTATTAATATTATTATTATTATTATTATTATTTCTATTATTATTACTATTAGTATTATTATTGTTTCTATTATTATTACCATTATTATTATTTGAATTTAAATTGAATAAATCAGATCAAATTCAATCAGATCAGAACTTTAAGAAATTACATGAGATCATATCAGGCAAACGGAACTCAGCCTTAGCCTGGTTGTGTTTGTTATACACAGGTAATCAGAAAAAAATGAATAATCTAAAACCGATCCTAGACGACAATGAGGATGAAAACACGTGTGAATGTGTAACTGATAACTTTTAATTACTTCTTAAATCTGTCGAACTTATTACATTTTCAGGCATGAGCACAAAGTTATGTTTTAAATAATTTACTTGAGTTCCTGTCCTATTTACATTACCCTCATAAATGTTTTTAAGTAATATTATGGACTTAAATAGTTTAAAATTATTTGGGAAATGTGATTATGGATGCCAGTTTGGTAGTAGTCGATCTTACGACTCATGTGATTGGGTTATAGAAGTTGGGTGTTACATTTTAGTATGAGACCATATGTTTTAAAATTGATCATCAAATGACAAATGAAAAACTTTCAAAAGCTTCATCTCGTAATTTCACTACCCGAGGAAGATAATAATATTAGACATGAGGTCAAACTCTTTTTATTTTCTGGTGTTGTTATTTTACAAATTTTGATAAATGACAAACACACATAACAAATGGTTTTATATTTATAACAAACAAGAAAAAGAAGAATTTATTTTAAAAGAAATGGAAGAATCCCTGCGCAAGAATAATCCCTATGCAAAAGTGAAGAGAAGTGAAGAATAAGATAATTTGAAGACTTTTATTTATTGGAAAATGCTAGGGGTACACCAAAAGTGTACCCCAAATATCCCTCACCCCCTCCATTACCACAAAAAAAGGTTCTTATTCCCAAGATTGACAATCTTATTTTGGCGGTTGATTTTAGACTAATAGCCTGCTGCAATATTACTTATAAAGTCATATCAAAGCTGATTTGTCTAAGGTTGAAGAGAGTAGTCCCTGAAGTGGTCAATTTAAATCAAGGGGCATTTGTGTCTGGAAGGCAGCTACTACATAATGTTTTGATGTTCCATGAGTTAGCAAAAAATTATAACAGGAAAGCAATATCACACAGGTGTATGAACAAGCTTGACATTAAAAAAGAATATGAGTCCATTAGCTTGGAGTAGTATGTATTTCTCATATAGTGCCAGAATAACACTTGTAAATGCTGTCCGACTAGGAGTGATTACTTTTTGGTCTAGAATCTTCATACTGTCTATAAAAAAAATGATAAAAGCAAGAACTGATAAAGTAAAAGCAAGAACTGATACTTCAGTTTAACTCAGTACCAAAAGAGAAAAATGTGAAAGGATTACAC